TGCAGCACATACTGTACACTGAGCCACTGGGAATACTCATCATCATCATCATCATCACCAAGAGTCTGAAATGTTGAGCATGACTAATTCAACGTTCCACTACTCACTTATAAGGTCGTCGTTGATAATCGGTGCCATCGAGATGATTCATGGTTATTTTTGGAGAGTCTTTCGAAAGTCGGGATAAATTCAGTCGTGAAAAATAATGTAACTCATCCTCTTGGCAGCGCTGCGCTAGGTCTAAGTCCAAGGTTTTTTTTTGGTTTTTCTCAGTAGCAGCAAATTGAAGAAAAGGCTTTTTTTAAAGTTGCTGCCTCTGATTGTTGCTATTTTCTGTGTGTGTGTGGATGAAGGATGGTGTGTTTGAGTGAAAAAGTCTGCACAAACAAGACAAACTGTTTTAGTCATTGTGCAAAGTATCCATTAAACACTGACAGCCAATCAGTCAGCTCGACAGCCTCAGTGTCACCGTCGTGTCGTCTGTTAAAAAAACAACACAACCGTATGATGGATGTACGCGGCGTCGCGGCAACAACGGAGCTCGGCGCTGGTGTCTGTCACTGACACTTTTATATTTTTTATTCAGGAGTCGAGAAAATGTAATTAATATTTACGTCGACGGTGATGATCCTGAAGAGAAGAATAAAAACAGTGATATTGTTGATAATGAAGTCCTGCATGTTCTCTGCATGGTTCTGGTTCCACTGGACGGGTGACAGGAAGGATGGTGGGGGGGGGTTGGATTGGTTGGATGTAGACTGTGGATGGAATAATTAGAATAAACCTTTAATTTCAAAGTTAATTTTTACACATTGGATGTATGAAACTGAAACTGAAATTAAATCGTCTTAAACCAAATCTAAAGATTGGACAAAGGCGTAAAGGTTTCTGCTTCGCTTTGTTCCAAACACAGATGGAAGTACAGGGCTTCACAGGTAGGGGGAGCTCTGTAATGTAGTCAGCAGGCGATAATGTTACGTTAACAGTGGGATTCTCAGAAAGAAAAAAAGTTTTTTTTGTCCAAGTATGAGCTACAGGAACAAATTTATTTAGCTGAGATTTGTACGAAAAAAGTTTTTTGTGTCCAAGTATGAGCTACAGCAACAAATTTATTTAGCTGAGATTTGTACTTTTATCAGACATGAACCACGGGTTGAACAACCTCAGCGTCCACCGACATCTTCTCCTGGTATCTGTTGGATGTTGGTGTGTGTGTGTGTCAGTGTGAAGACAGACTCTTTACAGCAGCTGGGACTGTCCTACATAGAGCCAGACCTTGGACGTGTCCCACAGTGTCGGATCATCTCGCTGCGTCATCATCCGACACCACGGCTAACTGGGCCAGAGATGTCAGTACGCCCCCTGCAGTAACACTCCGTCAGTTCGACAACCTGAGCCGGCTGCAGCCCTCGGAGGAGGTGCAGTTCTTCAACAGACGGAGGGTTGTGGGGTCAATTCCAGACTTTGGAGTCCACGTGCTGCTGCCCGCCCCCCGCCCCCCCGGCAGCCACGATGTTAGGAACAAAACGACAAAACCAGAACTTTTAAGAAGTCAAGGTGGTTGTTGGACCGTGGACATCTGTGGAGGGAGAACGGCAGCAGCAGAGTGGGGGTTAATTATGTTTTTAATTACATTTTAAAATATTGCTCAACGGCATAATGAGACCCATTAATACGCTGACTCAGCACCAGATCTCTAACCACACACTCCCTCTACTCCAACCCTGTACTGATGATTAGTCTGCGGTCCGGAGTTGATCCCACAACCCTCCTCCTGTGGCTGCTGATTTGGTAAAAATGGGTTGGAAGAACGAACCTGGAATATCGTATTCCACCTTCCGTGTCCTGGAACGACCAGGAGATTGGAGTTGAATTGTGGGAATTCTGTCTTTGTGGGAACGTCTGACACAATCACGGAGTGTAATCCGTCATCCTCTCAGTTGGTGGGCGTGTGTCCGTGTCGTAGATTAGCATTAGCTCGCCTCAGTTGTTGGTGTTTGTGGCTCCACCTGTGTAATACTCGTGAACTGCAGTGATGTGATGCTGCCAAGGTTCCCGTCTGATAATTATCTGCATTTTGGAGTATAGCGTTTCCGATGGGGGTGAGGTGGGGGGGTGTTGTTTTATGCACGGATGGAGTGAACAGCCGTGAGGGGGGGAGGAACGGCACTCCCTGGAGGACGGTCTGCAGAACGGCAGGCTCTATTAGGACTGAGATCTTCATGAAGATAATCGCAACACGCCTGATTAACGACACGCTTTGTTTGATTTAGGTCAAGTACACAACGAGGGGGAGGGAGAGGGGAGGGCAGGGGAGGGGGAGGGCAGGGAGGTGTGATGAAATGGGTTTGATGGTACAGTGTGACTAATGCACATCCTACAGCTGGGCTGGGCAGTAGTACTGTAGTAGTATTTGATGGTTGGTGAATAATACTGCATCGATGCAGTGTCAGTCTGGACCAGTGTCTGTCTGGACCAGTGACAGATCAGTCTTTATTCAGTCCTTATATCGTCCTTTTCGTCAAACCCTGGTGCGTCTCTGTGAAGACACGTGACTAACATCAGGATAACTCGTCTTCTAAAAATAATCACACATTTCTGGTTTTATATCGTGAGTCCTTTTCGTCAAACCCTGGTGCGTCTCTGTGAAGACACGTGACTAACATCAGGATAACTCGTCTTCTAAAAATAATCACACATTTCTGGTGTGAAAATGTAAATAAGTTACGTGTAAAGTGCTGTGCAGAATGTTCCAGAATCAGACGTGAGAAATTCAAATTGGGGAGAAGGTTTAAAACTGTCGAGGACGAGGAACGTACGCAGAACCTTCAGTTCAACGAACTGGGAATTAATGAGAAAAAAATCAATAACTGATCAATGACTGAGGAGATTGATACAGGATCAGTATGGATATTATTTTCTTACGCTCCTGGTTTAACCTCTTCTTTTTTTTTCTACTCGTCACCTTTCGTTTCGTCCACAGTCTGATCCCACTTCCTTGCTAGCATCCGATGTTTCCGATGTTCGGCTGCAGCGCTCACTGCTCTGAATGTCAGGCACGTAAACACTTTAAAAACACCTGAAAGTGGTTACAGCGTGTTCATTAGCTGCCGGCTCTCCTGAGTATCCTTTAAATTAGTATTCATGGATATATTGCACAGTGAAATATGTCCTTGTGTGCGTGCTCCTGCAAGAACAAATAAGCTATAAGATATATACTGTAGCTAATAAATCCTGAAGGCCCGCGTGGTACACAACATTAGGATGCAGCACAGACGCCTCTCCACTGATACCAGCCGCAGAATAAAGTTTAATGAAATTAGACTTTGGAACATTTTACATTGCCTGGCGTTATTGGATGCAGGTGTGCAGTCGGTTCATGTGGCCTCAGCACCACCCCCTCCAGGTCAGGGCTAAAAACAGCTGCAGCCCCTGAACGTCAGCGGAAACTGTTCAGCCTGGTGGAGAGTTCTGGGAATAAAGGGTTTCCTCCTGGGGGATCAACAGAGTCATTCTGGTCCTGGTTCTGGTTCTGGTTTTTCTGCAGCAACCCTCAGATGACTTGATGCAGAAACGGCAGTTACAAAATCAACCACTAGTTGTCATTGTGATGTAATCTTTTCTGGTTTTGCCTCAAGTTGTTTTATGATCTGTCAGTGGCGAGAGCCAATCAGATCAGCATGTTTGTTCGCTGATCCAATCACAATGTTCGTCCGTAGTAGAATGAACAGAGTTTATTTATTATTATTTATTATTTGGTGTATTTGTATAAATATACATATATATATTTATACGTGTTAGTTGTGTATGTATATCTATATTACTAATAATAATTCATCCATGAAGATGCACTTTGTTTCCATTTACATGTGATGTTCGTATAAATGTAACCATCAGACAGACCTGATGGAGGATGGAGGCTGGAGGTGAGGACCAATCAGAGATCTGATCAGGCTGGAGGTGAGGACCAATCAGAGATGAGTGTTGTGTAGCCGACACCACAGAATCACTGGTCAGAACCAGAAGTGAGGCCTCCTTAAAACCAGCTCTCAGTTGTTTCCTGTTCTCAGTGTTAAGTGAGGGGGAACGGTCCAAGCAGCCGTTAGTTCCTGTCGACTGTTTGAGGAGCCATTAGAACCTGGCCCTGAAAGTACTTAAGTGTAGAGACGGAGGGTACAATTTTGGTTTAAGTGCCTCTCCTCGGAAATCTGAGCAGGAACAGTAAGAGAGCGGAGACCACATCAGTGGAGAGGAGACGAGGAGAGGAGCAGAATGTCAACGTTCTGTTAAGGTTCTGATGGAACCAGAACCACTGCTTCACACTGTACATAAGTAAATAACACAAGTCATTATTGTTTGCTCTCTCCCTCCTCCTGGACGAGTCATTAATCTGTTAATTCATTAAGTCTAAAATGAGTCTGAAAGAGGAAAGAAGTCACAGCAGTGGCCTTTGTTTGTCTGTGTCAGTTTAGAAATGATAAATCAACACCACCGTCTGCAGCTCATCTGTCATTGGACAGGTGAATTCTGGGTAAAAAAATAAAATATGTATTTATATATCCTTTACATTAAAAAGGGTATTTTGAGCCGTAGAACTTGACAGTGTGTTTAATTGGACATTTAGAGGTAATTCAGAGGTAATAGTGTAATAGCCCGGTGTCTGTTTTGACAGTGGGTATAAATGGAATCATTGATTAAACACTGTAATCAGATTGATGAGTTTCTGCTCGCTCACCGGCCGTGGGAACAAATCAATGACTTTCACTGCCATAAAGGAAGAAAGAAAAAAAAAATCTGTTTTTAAATCTCACTAAAAGGTAAACTTCAAAAGTTGTTGTTTATTGATCCAGACTGAGACCATGTGTGAGGTATCGCTCCAGTCGGCTGTGACCAGGCAGAGTTACCGTCTAGTCTTGGTCCAGACTTGGAAATTCCCGACTTCTAAAACAGAAAGTTTCCATTTTAATGTTTGTTTTTTCTTTTTATTTCTCTGTTCACAGCTGGCACCACGTATATCTTTGGGAAAGGGGGCGCTCTCATCACTTTTACCTGGGCCCCCAATGAGCGGCCGAGCACCCGGGCCGACCGGTTAGCCGTGGGCTTCAGCACCCTGCAGAAGGACGCCATCTTGGTGCGGGTGGAGAGCACGCACGGTCTGGGAGACTACCTCCAGCTGCACATAGTAAGAACGACCTCTTCTTCCCTCCTGTCACGACGGAGCGCTGAGCAAAAAGACGAGGAAGTCAGGGCACAGAAAAATAAAAATAAAAAATATATATATATTTCAGGTTAGTTAAGTTGGTGAAAATTTTAAACATGTAAATAAATAAAAACACCAGCAAATGTAACATATTATAACTTAGCAGCGTTAAAAGTATCTGATAGTTTTGTAAGTTTTTTAAAAAAGAAGATAAATAGAAAAAAAAAGAGACTAAAATCATCTGAGATTTTTTTTATTCTCCTCTAGTTACTCTCTCAATTATCAAAACATCCATAAAGACAGATTCTCTATTTTTTTATCAGTAATAGAGCCTACCTGCCAAAGGTGGCGCTACAGGGACATGTTCTGAATCACAGCGTTAATGTACTGAGAGTGTTGGATTAAATCTCTGAGGAGAGAGGATTCATGTTCTCATCACTGCAGAGATCCAGTGAGTCCTGGGTTCAACTCCCACAGGAACCACATACTTATCACCTCCAGGGGGCAGCCTGTTGCAGCAGATCTGATTAGTTAACACAGGAATTTAACGAATGTGGGGAAAAAACATAGTTTAAATGATTCATTATTATGAATATTATGATCAGAGCTGAGGTTCTCTGTGTCAGAGAACGTTCTTGTAGACGTTCCACGTCTGGACTCCAGTTACAAACAGTCATTTACTGCCACTAATGAACCAATCAGAGAAACCGAAGAACAGACAGAGATATTTACTGGTGTGTGAGTTGATCAGACGGCAGCAGTTCTGGAGGGAAATCAGCCACGTCCACAGTGTAGCCAGAGGACAGATGTGTTGTGGAGAAGAAGCCGAGGGCTGGGGTGGTGAGGAGGGGGAGAGGGCTGAGGGGGAGAAGGCTGGGGAGGGGGGGGTGAGATCTGTCCAATGTCTGTGAGCAGGATATCATCATTAATTTTACATCTGTCGTCAGAAAAAAAGTCACAAATTGAATTAGAGGCTAATTAGCACAACGATGGAGGAATCCCAAAATAATCATCTTTAATTAGTGACGCTGGTCAAAGAACAACACGAACCACAAGACTGTTGTCTAACCAGTCTGTGACAGTCTACACCAGTCTGGGACAGACACTATGTCAGTCTGTACCACGACCGTCTGTACCAAAACAGTCTGTACCAGGTCGGTCTGTACTATGACTGTCTGTACCAGGTCGGTCTGTACCACATCAGTCTGTACCAGGTCAGTCTGTACCATGACTGTCTGTACCATGACTGTCTGTACCAGGTCAGTCAGACTACGGTGCAGCTGCAGGTCTTGTTGCTCTGACCTCGATGTCTGGTTGTTGACGTTCATAGTTTTAATGTGAGCTCCATCAGACTCCAACATGAACAGTCTAAGT